AAGTGAGATTAAAAAGTAGTAGTGTTATATAATCACACTTTAATTAGAAGGTGTGATTAAAAAATATATAAATAATCACACTTTAATTAGAATGTGTGATTAAAAAATATATATATAATTACACTTACTTAAAAAGTTTGATTAAAAAGTAGTAGTGTGTATATAATCACACTTTAATTAAAAAGGTATGATTAAAACATATATAAATAATCACACTTTAGTTAGAATGTGTGATTAAAAAAAATATATATAATTACACTTACTTAAAAAATGTGATTAAAAAGTAATAGTGTATATATAATCACACTTTAATTAAAAAGGTGTGATTAAAAAATATATAAATAATCACACTTTAGTTAGAATGCGTGATTAAAAAATATACATATAATCACAATTACTTGAAAAGTGTGATTAAAAAGTAGTAGTGTATATACAATCACACTTTAATTAAAAAGGTGTGATTAAAAAATATATAAATAATCACACTTTAATTAGAATGTGTGATTAAAAAATATATATATAATCATACTTACTTAAAAAGTGTGATTAAAAAGTAGTAGTATATATATAATCACACTTTAATTAAAAGGTGTGATTAAAAAATATATAAACAATCATACTTTAATTAAAATGTGTGATTAAAAATATATATATATAATCACACTTGTTTAAAAAGTGTGATTAAAAAGTAGTAGTGTATATATAATCACACTTTTAATTAGAATGTGTGATTAAAAAATATATATATAATCACACTTAATTGAAAAGTGATATAAAAAATAAATATTATCACACTCAATCAAATTAAGTGTGATTAAAATATCAATCTAATTTTTTTTTTATCACACTTCCAATAAAAGTGAGATCTTTTTTTTTTGTCAAAGTGTGATCTTTAACTATTTTTGTAGTAGTGAACTTTCTTTTTGAAACAAGATTGTATTTACCAAACTTTATGCCAATCTAGTTTCTGTGATATATATCTTATTTTGGAATTGAACCCTATTTTCAAAACTGTATTTACTATCCATGTTGCTATTCACTGAGCTATCAGCTGACTTAGTTGTTTACCATTTCCAGGTGTTAGAAGGACTTAGAGTGGACTCATGGCGTAGCGGGGACTCAATTGCATGGACCTCTAGGGCATTATTTAATTTGTTTTAGGTTGCTTTGTCGAGTTTTGTGCATACTTTGTGGTTGAGTTTTATTTAAAATTATTTTATTTTGTAGGCGGTTTGTGTCCCATTTAGTATATATATATTTTTAGAAAGTTGGTTATGACTTGTTTTTCACTTGTGGTATGTCACTGGATTGAGTGTTGATTTATTTATTTCTGGGCTATCATCACATTTATTCTTTATGGTTTTGGATTCATGTTTAGGCTTACGTGTGCCTTGGACTAAGTCCCTGTGGGCCACGGCCGGTCGTGCCCGGATTTGAGGTGTGACAAGGATTCCTTCCATCCTATAGAGAAAACAAATGGTATTGTCGCTGATTACACCATTAAGAATTCCCTAGGTGTATTCCTATAATTTCCTTATGTATATTGTAACATATGTAATCATCAATGCAGCTTTCAGTATTCATTCGAATTAATTAGTCTAGATTCATAGTTAAGATTTTGTTCCCAAAATTGTATAGTTCTCACAATTATGCAATACAGTTGCAGTTAAGAAAACCAACTTCTGTATCTTCAAACTTACTTCAGATGTGCAATGCCATCCCAACATTGTAGTTAAGGAGGCCTGAAACAAGAATAATATGAGAGCACAACAGGTGTACCTGGGTTCAGTTCCTACTGTTGTAGAGAGATATGTGTGCATTTGTAACAATTGGCAGTTGAGATGCTACGAAGGTAATTCCACAAAATCAGCCAAGAATAAGGTCAACTCAAGGATGTTTAAGTACTTATCAGCCATGGTATATGGGTGCAGAGTTGAGATATTATAAGGAAAAGCAGTAAGTCCAAATAAAAAACTCAAATAAGAAACTGGCTAAAAAATGATATAATGGAAATCAAAAGCTGAATCCATTTAACCAGTAATAAAATGGAACATAAAAATATCTGACCAATTAATTTATCACAACGTGAAGTAGCAAGAGTGTTTGGTAATGTATATAAGGAGAATTTAAAGAAGATAAACACCTTAATTCAAATAGTTAAATCATTTTGCCTCTTTTGGGAAATGCAGCTTGATTAGTGTAAGAAGTTCAACAAGCTCAACTTGAGGTTTACCTAACAAAATACTCCTTAACTTTTCGTCACAATTGACCACGTTCTTGTTACTTGGATCCTGAGCAAGAAAGAAAAAACTCAATCAGAATATGAAAAAAAAAAGAGAGAGAGAGAGAGAGTAATACATCCATCCAGACTCGTCCAAATGTGCAAAAGAAACCCCATATATTATCACTTTAGGATCAAAATGTAAAGGCAATGCTAATACATAATTTCACAGTTACTTCTTGAAATCACAGGGCAACAAAGGCTGCAAGATTTCTGTTGTTGGGTACCTAAAAAATAGGGACTCAGGGCAACAAAGGCTGTGAGATTTCTGTTGTTGGGTACCTAAAAAAAAAGGACTCAGTAATGACTGTCACAACTAAAATTAGGGATGAAGTTTTTAACAACCTAGAAGAAGGAAAAAAAAAACCATCAATGAGCATTGTGAATTTATTGTTATCTGTAATTCTTTTAACAATAAGCATTGTAAATTTATTGTACCCATAAACACAACATGGACCTTCCAAAATAATGCAAAAAATGAGACAAATGTTTAAAGTATGAGAAAATGAACCTGTCATAGCATAAAAATTTTCCACTATCAAATTCTTGAAAATGCAAAGTACACATCTAGGGAAATTTATTTTTTATTTTTGATAAGTCAAAGGAAATTTTCTTGTACCACACAAAAGTAAAGTGACAACATTTTTTGAAGTGAGTAACTAAGGCCAAGTTTGGGAAGGCTAAAAAAGTGTACTTTTTGTCTTTTTGGACTAAAAAATTGAGATTGAAAATATGGATGTTTGGGTTAACTTTTTGACTTTTTATTGAAAAATGTGTAATAAAAAATTGTAAAAATTGATTTGTAGGGTAAAATTTGAATTGAGAGTTGTGCAGCCGTAATTGTTGACTTTTGGTGAATAGTGTTAACTTTTTAACTTTTTGAGTAACTTTTTGACTTTTTGATTTTTTTTGAAGTCCCCAAACTTGGCCTAATGTAGTAATGAGTAAAATGATGGAATATATGGAAATGAGAGATCGTTACATTTGTTAAATCATTAAAAAGCTATTATCACATTTCCCAAATGAAACCACAAAACCTAATGCATTAGGTTCCACGTAAGATAGAGACACAATTAGTAGTATGTGCATCATGGATCGTTAATCAATCATACAAGTTATAGTTATTTAAGAAAAAATATATGTACTTTTTAAAATTTTCAACTACATATTTGAATATATAAACATAAGGGAGAGATGGAGGACCTGGAGATTGTTGGCCTTGATGTATGACCAGACACGCATGAAACAGCCCAAACGAGATCTGAGATTGACCCACAAATTCTCGAAGCGTTGAAGGAAGATTTACAAAGTCAATCAAGTTGGCGAGTTTCTTTGGGTTGTCGGTGATGGCTTTCTTCATCCGCTGTGGCAGCATTTTTGTTAATTATTTTCTGCTTTCTAAAACTTGAAAGCCAATAAAATCATAGGGGGTGTGATCAACCGCTTCTACCAAACTAAACCCTCACTTTAGGAGAATAACATAAAGAAAATTTACATATACCAATATGAGCAATCATTGTCACATTGGTCTTACTAGAAATCATTGGTGATCCACATCAGACATGCGTAGACCAAACAGAGTCTTGTAGTGTGTGGCATGTGATAATTAAATAGGAAACTACCCTCAACAGATCCCATTTCCATTTTCTCCCAAGAAAGCAATTTTAAGAAAGCACAAAACAAATGGTTCAAATACTATGAGAAAATATTATAAGTCACTTTTTCCAACGTATTGTGTTAGTAACTTTAAGATCCATGCTCAAACATAGGTTATAAGGAGCAGTGGTGGACTTAACTAAACAAAGCCTTCAATACTCACAGTGTTTCCCTTGAAATGCATTACATATCATAAAATATACTCGTGCTAAAGAAGCAGAAGCACATGACTTTGTCAGAGAGCTTATTTCCAACAAGAAATAGTTGCTGCGAATTTGCCAGAGAGCTTATTTCCAGCAAGAAAATCTGTCACTACTATGAACAAATTCAGCAACACTGCTGGAAAATTCACTTTTAGCGGCGTTTAAAAAACGCCGCTAAAAGTATTAAAAACGTCGTTAATTTTTTTTGTGGCGTTTAGTACCAAACGTCGAGGACGCGGCCGTCGCTATAACTTTATGGCATTTAAAAAATGTCATTATATTAGTATAGGCGGCGTTTTCAAAAACGCCGCCAAATGTCCTACCCTAACTGTACTGTGACGTCACTCTGACATTTAGCGACGTTTTTGAAAACGCCGTCATAGACATTTATTCATTTTAAAATCTAGCCGTTGGGATGGGATATAGTGACGTTTTTTAAACGCCACCATAGCCTTTTTTTTAATTTTTAGATTGTGTTAATTTTATATGGTTGAACAAAAAAAAAACCCGGCAAACAATTATTAAGAACTAATAATTAATGTTTATTAAAATAATAAATAAACTAAGCTTGAAAACAAAATTAAAAATAAAAAACAATGCATTACATACCTAAGAATAGAAACAATTCAGACTTTAAATACATCAATTAAAATCAAAACGGTCTATATGCTTGTCTAATAACTTATCCTGGTAAAGTCAAAACCATGCTGTGAAGAAATTACAAGAATTGCTTCCTTTTGAGGCTTATGATTCAACCTCACATGGACATGAAAATAATATTTATGGCTACAACCTTATCCCTACTCCATAGGAAAAGATAGACCATGCAATACAAAAAGGCAGTTAACCGCATTTCAATATCTAAAATCAGGAAAATGGAGGTAATCAATTTTAAATGTTCAACTAGGGCTAAGAACTTTCTATGAATTGCCATTAGACCATTGATAGAAGACATATATGTTCAAAACATGGTTCAACTACCATACACTATGCTTCTTGAAGAAAGAATTCAGTTAACCATTTTTGCATAAGCAGTTAATTCCCACTGTTTACATACCCATAAGACGCTTGTAAGTTTCATTTTTTCCCAACAAAATATCAGAGTTGGCTTCTTGCTTCTCATGTTTGGCTATAATAACCTTTTTCTGAAAATCCAATGGTATATCCTTAGGTAGCTGTGCTTGCAATTTGTCTTTGTCTGCATTTATTGATAGTTCCACACATTTTGGATCTTTATTGATGCTTCAGCTCTCGTTCTTGATAGTCTCTGCATCCTAAGCCATAGAACATCTAAGGTCTTCTCTAACATCCTGCACAGATTAAATCATGAGACACCAATCATACCATAGAAAGCAGAACTCAATTAAGTACTTACATTCGGAAAGGCGGTTACTTGCTCCATAAAAGCATCAAGAAAACCTTCCATTGATGCTCGTAAGCTGCAACAGAAGTAAATCGAATTAGCACATGGAGAGCATTCTGACAATTATGTAAAAACTGAAAACAAATTAATTAAACATATACTTTGGAAAATACCAAAGGAGCTATATTTGACCATCACCAGCAAAACATCTATAATTGGTTCATACCTTACTTTTAATGCCTTTGGTATGCTGTGGAAAGGTGCATGATTTTATAGATATCCATAAAAGTAGATTAGAATTAGTAATCACCAAAAACTGGCAGAACAGCTTATGCTTTCTTTATTCCATTTGTTTATAAACGAGTGATATAGGATTTCAGCAGCTAATATGCAACTCAAAACTCCAGAAGAAAGCTCAAATCTCTACCATTTGGGGTTGAATTCTAGTTAATAGTGATATAGGATTTCAGCAGCAAAGAAAACAAATAGATCCTGAAGTGTGCATACCCACTTCCTATTATCATCCTGGAAGAAAACAAGCTCACATTCAGCAATTTGATGGATAAAACTTAGCCCAGCTACTAATTATGGGGCAGTCTTCTACCTGGAAAAGAGAAAACGGATCCACACACACGACATAACTGATCAGAGTACTTGGTTTGCTTAAGAAATTTGAACAAATAACCAAAATCTTCTAAAGCATATGAATACCTACATCTTTCACCTTTATGTGCTTACAGGACTATATAAGAAATTGAATAGACTCGTATATATCTTACAACACTGCAATCAAAATTCAACAAAGGGCCTTCCAAGCAACAATAGTCCAATCCGATCAATTAGGGTTGAAAATCATATACTGAATATTGGTGGTTGAAAAAGTAAGAAAAGCAACAGAGAGGAAGACACCGAAAACAACAAAAAATAGAAAGGAAGAAGAAAAAAAAAAAAAAAACCTTGGCATCAGGTGCTGCCTTGGTGTTTTCAGCACCCCATGGTACGTTATGGAGCCAGACTGATACAAATGGACCATTAATCTTCCTCCAATTTAAGTTCTCTGAGTCATCACGGGGACCTTGGTAGCCACACTTCTGAATCTTACTAGACTCATCATGGCTTGGATTGCAGATGTCTTTGCCCATGAATTCACCTTTCTGTTCACTTGGCTCTCCATGAGCTTCAAAGCCGGGAGCGGGCACAAATGAAATACTCCCATTGTACTCCCTAAGATGAAATATCCGTTGAACAGCCTGAAAAAAATATAAGTGGATAAGTTTAATATAACCTTGCTGTTCTAAAGCTTCCCAAATTCATTTTCTTAACAGCATTTCCACGCCTTACAAGCTGTTTTTGTATTTAGTACTTTACAAAGAATTTCACATGGCAATAGCATTGTCAACATAGTCAAATTCTAATCTCTTAAGGCATGTTGAACAAATAATGATGATAAAGATAATCCAATTGTTAATGATGATGCAAAAAGTTATAAATAAACTTTACTACACAAATACCATGAGTTAATAGAACAGAGACGGGGTTGATAGTTAAACTTAAACAGCAGTTCCTTCAGGTGGAAGCGTGGGCTGGGAGGATAAAAATGTTGCATTGACTAGCCAGCCGGAGGCACTGGCAGAGGTGGCTGTTGATAGTTAAACAGCAGCTCCTTCGGGTGGAACAAGCATTACATTCATGGGCAAACCTTACTTTAAAATTTGAAGTCAACAAGGGTATAAAACCGATAAAGGACAACTAAAAATCCAAAATAGTGCTTTGATAATCCGATTTTGTAAACATAAATTATTTTGGAAACAATAATTAGGTTGTTAATCTTTTAATTCTTTTCATATAAAAAGTTGAAAATTACTATACCTAGACAATCTTTAAAAACTGTGATTGGTGTGAAACACAACATTAATTAGTGAATCACTGATCATATTTGCCAAGTAGTAGAAGTTATAGTAAGAGCATTACTGATAACAAAAAACCCAAGAGTTACACAATAATATCAGTAAAACAAATGACAACAATGATGGCAACGGTTAAAAAGACTCACCTGCATTAAAATGGAGTAATAGTAAAACTAGTCATACAAATATAATATGGATTGAAGCATTTTAAACACGAATAACGACAGTGGTGGGCCACGGCAGCAGCTGCAATACAAATAATAATAAGATAGGCATAACATAGCTGAGTGTGTTAGTAAAACAGCTGCTATTTAAAGCTCTTCATGCAGGAATATGTTTCTACAGTAGAAACTGTGATAGAAAAAAGTTTAAACAATCAGGCTACCAATTTTAGAATTTACTTCTAGAGAGTTATATTTCACCAAATATCAAGGCAATTGCACATGATGATCATCCCATGTATAAGTTGCGATCAGATAGAGTGTGTTTTTACCAATAATGTAGCTTGTATGTATTGAACATCTTCTGATATATGTGATATTCAACTTGCGTGCTATGTATGGGAGGAAATTGTAATCAAAAGATTAGATAGACAAAACAAGAGTCTCCCCCGAAAGAATAGATTTTGCCAAGAATATGGCCCTTTACTTTTAGGAGTTTCATCTTGATCATACTAAAGGCATAAGGACCTGAAGAATCTTAACCAACCAGTAGATTGAAACTGTAGAGAGCATAAAAGAAGCCATTTTCTTTCTCTCTGGAATGTCAAAATTGAGAAACTAGGCTACCATCCCCTTTGCCTCATCTTTTAGGTTACTAAATGAATCACTCTTACAATAAAAGTAGGTGTTGCCCCTGCTTAAATGGAACATCATGTCAGGAAAATGATATACTCTCACCATAAAGGTTTTGGTTGCCCCCACTATTAATGGAACAAAGCCAATTCCTCAGTTATTTGTTTCATTACAGCCATTACTAGTGAAAACACTAAATATCTGTCTGACATTATGTAACATATGACACAAGAGAACCAAATTTGGGGAATCAAAATAATCATAAAGTGCTCTGAGGTTAAACATCTAGAAGATCTTAGTTTTAAATGACTCAAAACATGCTGACTATAATCAACTAACCCTCCAGTGGTTGCAGTAGCAGGCTGACCAGTAACATCATTCTTCTTGACATCAGCTAACACAACATTGATATCGTCATCCTCAAAAGCAAAATACACAGGATACTGTAACCAAATATAGCATCATCAAGATAGTTTCCATGATAAAATCACATTGAAATATAGAAAGTGAAAAGAAATTTGGGGATGTGAAACACCTTGATTAATGAGTAGGCCAATAAATTATAGGACATGACAGAAAGTCAAATGTCCTGGCCATTAAATGGTGTCTAAGAATCCTACAGAGCAATATAATATATATGTATCCCGAGTCCATTTGGGAGCCTATAACAAACACTGCAGGTTACTTTGTTTAGAGTGTTTTGATAAAGTTTGTGCATACTACACAAACATAGCTTCAACAAGCTGAAAAAAATATGATTATTCAGAAGTATGTGGGAGGGATACTTTTAACTTCTACTTTCTGATTATCAGTTTTCAGCACAAAGAAGCTGCAACAAACAGGGCCTGATATCACTCACAGTATTAAAGCATTTGGTCAGAATGAAAGGAAACAAGTGTACTACTCGGATAATAAACAGGTTGGTAATTGAATCAGTCCATTTGATTTACATTGAATTTTAACTAACAAAAAAAAAAGAGAGTGATATTCTAAGCATAAAAAAAAATTTAGTCATCCAGGGCCCTTATTCTAGAATACCCTTGGGGCAACAATTATGTGCATATTCACTTAAATGCAATTAGGAGGAGAATGGACAAATTCACTGTTATGTAACCAGGAAGAGAATATACATATTCAACTACAATTAAAAGAATAAACGCCACATCAATCCTAATGAAACGGGCAAAAGTTGGGAAGTTAAAGATGCATTCTGACCTTAAGCAGCTTGTGAACGAATTGAATAGCATCACTTGGTCCAAAAACCTAACAGTTGTTAACAATATCAACTTTATAATAGTTTTAAAATGAAGGCAAAAGAGATAGTGGACAGATGATATACCCCCCACAGGCCATCACAGCCAAGAATGATGAAGTGGTCTCACTCTGTAAGCTTCGACGGAGCTTCGAAATCGGTTCGATCTGGAGCTTCGATGGAGCTTCGAAATCGGTTCGATCTGGAGCTTCGATGGAGCTTCGAAATCGGTTCGATCTGGAGCTTCGATGGAGCTTCGAAATCGGTTCGATCTGGAGCTTCGATGGAGCTTCGAAATCGGTTCGATCTGGAGCTTCGATGGAGCTTCGAAATCGGTTCGATCTGGAGCTTCGATGGAGCTTCGAAATCGGTTCGATCTGGAGCTTCGATGGAGCTTCGAAATCGGTTCGATCTGGAGCTTCGATGGAGCTTCGAAATCGGTTCGATCTGGAGCTTCGATGGAGCTTCGAAATCGGTTCGATCTGGAGCTTCGATGGAGCTTCGAAATCGGTTCGATCTGGAGCTTCGATGGAGCTTCGAAATCGGTTCGATCTGGAGCTTCGATGGAGCTTCGAAATCGGTTCGATCTGGAGCTTCGATGGAGCTTCGAAATCGGTTCGATCTGGAGCTTCGATGGAGCTTCGAAATCGGTTCGATCTGGAGCTTCGATGGAGCTTCGAAATCGGTTCGATCTGGAGCTTCGATGGAGCTTCGAAATCGGTTCGATCTGGAGCTTCGATGGAGCTTCGAAATCGGTTCGATCTGGAGCTTCGATGGAGCTTCGAAATCGGTTCGATCTGGAGCTTCGATGGAGCTTCGAAATCGGTTCGATCTGGAGCTTCGATGGAGCTTCGAAATCGGTTCGATCTGGAGCTTCGATGGAGCTTCGAAATCGGTTCGATCTGGAGCTTCGATGGAGCTTCGAAATCGGTTCGATCTGGAGCTTCGATGGAGCTTCGAAATCGGTTCGATCTGGAGCTTCGATGGAGCTTCGAAATCGGTTCGATCTGGAGCTTCGATGGAGCTTCGAAATCGGTTCGATCTGGAGCTTCGATGGAGCTTCGAAATTGCTTCGATGGAGCTTCGAATATCTGAATCTTCGATGGAAATCACTGAATCTTCAACGGAGCTTCGAAATCGGTT